CCCTGGCATCACAGTAGTCAAATTACAACAATTATTTCCCCCTGTCTTCCCCAAAAACAATTCTCTAAAGATTGTCTGTGCTGTAAAAATGACAGTAGTCCAAAAATCAGGAGTAGAACTTGAACACAATCCTGCACATTTTTTAAAGGAGTAAAGATCAAAAGTGCTATAGCACTAATTTCATTCACTTTTTGCTCACATTACGTTACTTCCTTTAAGTAGAATACAGAGTATTCTACATGTAACTACTATATATAATGATACAGAGGAAATTAGGATTGATTTTTAGTTCTAGTCACAGTAAATATGCTTAAGCAGGCATTTTCTCTTTTAGACTTTCAATTAACTACTCAAATTTTCTCAGTTTTCTTAAGACTTATTTTGTAGAAGAAAAAAAATTCAAACAACTTTGCTGGATTGTTCTTTAATTACAATGCAGCAAGAAGGGCAGTTGGCATCAGTGATTTCAAAGAAGTCCTATGAAGAATGTTTTTAAGCTGGAATCTGCTTACTGAGTGATACAAATTTTGATATTGTACAAATACTTTTAAATTACAGTTTTAGCTTACAAGTTTGATCTCCAATCCCCAAGAAACATCATCTTCAACTCAAGCTTTAGAACAGCACAGAAATTTTATTTAGATTAATGTAAATGTAAAACATTGCTCCTAGTTTTGCCGTTCCACTCATCGCAATCCTCTGACTGATGGTAGAAACCTTTGGAAATATTTTCTTATTTTGTTAAGCTCCTAAGAAACAGTTTGATTTACAAGTCAAGAGCTATACTGGGATGCTAAAATCAAAATGTAATTAAACCCTTAAACCCAGCTGACACTTCATGATAGCACAAGTCTAGAATGAGCGTGCAGATACCTTTTCCTCCGCTGGAAAACACTTCGGGAGCTCTTCCCATCACCCAAAACAACCTTTCATTAACTTTACTTTTATGCCACCCAATTTTGGACAAATTTATAAACTGAAAAATACAGGACACTAAGAGGTGCAGGTTACAATGAAACAAGCAGTACACCTGCAACCCCAGGAAATAAGCTTTCAGTATTCACCCCAGAACATAGGTGTCAGTTTGGGAGTCTGATGGATCTCTTAAAAGCTGTTGAGACACAATTACTTGAAGAAGTACTTCACTTGACCTTGGTTCTTTAAAAAGAGTAAAGAAAACTACCATCATTTATTAAGTGTCCAATAAAACATACATATACAATATATGCCGAATGAATTAAAAGTCTCTCCTTATCATATTTGACATTTATATGCCTACTTCAGTATACAAGAGTATGACAAAACTCAAAATTTTACAAACTTCAACACTACGTAGTAACCCAAACCTACTTTTTTAAACATTCTTCTACCCCTCAACCAGAAAGAATGGGAAATATGGAAGGCACGTAATGAAATACCTACCTTTTATTTACTTCCTCATCTGTAAATTCTGTGGGTATGAGAGAGAAGTATTTCCCCATCTTCAGCCACAGATTAGATTTAGGGATCCATCCATTGTGTGCATGAATAGTATGGATTTTAGCAAGCTGTCTGGCAATAAGTCTAAAAAAACAAAGTTTCATTTAATGTTGTATTTGCAATAGATCTGACAGTCTTCATCATATTTTTCCTAGCAAGAAGACAACTACAATATATTTAACAGAAAAACTGTAAAAAATGCAGCAAGGGAATCCAAAGAGGGTTTAAACAAGAGCAGCACAGCTAATGGGTAGCATCTTCAAATACTCAAAAGGTCATTAGTAGCACTACTTAAGAGAGGGGAGGCGGGAGGGATTGGAGTTCACTTACAGCATGCATACTTCACCTGTATCTACAGTCTACTCTTCAACTTGTTTATCTTTAGAAGAGTGGACTCAAATTAGCTGCCATTGTTAGGCAAATACATTTCAGTGCATACATGAAAAGCAAAAATCTTAAGACATCAGCACTTTCTGTTCACTGTTAATAGTTTAAAAAATTATGTCTCAACAGAAGACTACCTTGAACCTATTCACAAAAGAAAAGTATTAGAAACAGAGCTAGGAGTACTTGGTTTAATCAAGTCCAGCCCCCTACAACTCCACCATGTTAAATGATCTCCCTAATGGTAATGTCCAAGTGTTAAATACTCACAATAAAGCAGACCTCTAATGAGTATATAGTCTTCTGGGGAGGCAGCAAGGATCATTTGTTCAGCACTGAAATACCAGGATAACTAAGATAGAGGACAGCGAGCTGTCAAGAGTGTGAAAATCAACTTAGTGCAGGCTTATAGAAGTATTTCTTTTATGCCTGCTCATAAACTAAGCTTGAGATCCTTTGGTCACGACAGAACACCATAAATGTATCATAGAACTTGAATAATGAAATAATAATAATAAATTAAAAAAATAAAAAGCTTACCTGAAAATATCTGGATTGCATACATGCTCTGGATCCAGTGCCTCTCCCTGCATGAACTCGTAGCACAGGCCATTATTGAAAGTACAGTATAGTTGAGGTGCACAGCCATGAGCCTGCAACACGCGAAAACTCTTCACTTCCTCATCTCGATCTACTAAGAGCTCGGTCTTATTTCCATAGATCCTAACTAGAACCACATCATCTGTTATGTCACCCACGTAGCAGCCAATTAGTTTATTGGTGATTCCATCGGTGAACAGCTGAAAAGTAAGAATAATGCATAAACAACTCAGATCTGCATTTTCAACGTGCAGGAAAAGAATGCAGGGTTATTCTTTAGTTCACAAAACACAAATGTTTACTAGATTGAGCATTAACAAAAGTAACCTTTAAGATACAGGAAAATCGTGGAGAAAATTGCAAGGATTTTTCCCCATAACACATGAGAAGAGGAAAATGTGAAAACATGCTACAGAGAACTACATAAATACTACATGTAAAAGGCAGTAACTGAAAGCTCAATATTGTAAAATGAGTTCCCACATAACTGCTTTGAAACTGATGGATTAAAACAGCTGAAATCAAAGCCCCAACAACGCAGCAATCCTAAACCACTACGAAAACAGTCATGAATACAGGTAGCACGAAAACAAGAAAGAGTTTTGATGCACTTCAGAATTTCAGTATTTGCTGATCAGTGCACATCTAGTAAAAGATACTCCTGGAGAAACTACTCCTTTAAAAAAGCAAAATTCAGGTCAGAAACAGTTCAAGTTTAGTGATTATCATCTTCCCACTAGCCTTGAGGTTTTACTGATTGAGAACAATTCTTGAAGTCACTTCGGCTCCTCTACAAATTTGAGACAGTACTTAAAATTAAAGACCCCAGTCTTCAGCCTCAAGTACCATTCCAAATTTAAAAGCTTCTGACAAGACCAACTATCCTCCCATTTTACTTCATAACTGGTACATGCCATTTAGAAGATTAAAAAAGCATTTCAAGTCCTTATCGTTGCGACATATATAAACACAATTTTTACAGCCCTGCAACTTACTAGACTTTAACCAGTCTAGTCACTGACACCTGAACATACTGAAGACGAAGCAAGTAATTTCTACAAAAATAAGCAAGAGCATTATTTGAGCATTATGTTTACATCTAACAACAACCTACTCATTGCCTTTCAAATAATGATTGAGGTATGGATACTACAAGTTCCTAGCTATGGAAAGGAGGGTGCAGACCAAGAAAACTCCCACCCCTTAACTGCTGCTTCTCCTTTCACATTTGATGAGGCCTAAAATAGTCATTATACAGGCTGAACTCTTGGAGATGCCACCTGACAAACAGACTAGATCCTGAGTTACTGGGCTGTGTGTATCCAGTTGCATGTAGTTAAGCATCTGAAATCCCACTCAATGCCTACAAGAGTAACACAGCAGTTCTTGATCTCCTACAATCTGGGACAGTTTTCCAAAACAGATGTTTGGTGCTTTCACTCTTTGCACTCTGTCAGCCCAGACTGAATGCTTAAGAACTTGCTAGATGAACGCTACCCATATTAACTCTAGCTAAGTGACTGAAGGGCAAGGCATTCTCAGGTGACAACCAGCATCACAAGCAAGAACGCCCATATTTTCTAACTACTAAACGGCCTCCTGCAGTCTTAAGCCTAAGTAGTAAACAATTCAAAGTCAAGGTTCTCACAGCAACTGTAATTTATAGTCAAGCATAATTTTTTTCAGTGGTCACAGTCATGCCTCTTCATACCTCTTCTCCCACTCTGTTGCCCCCAGAACCCTAATTAAAACTCAATTAAAAAAAGAACAAACTCTCACAAAGCACAAAACCTCCTTTCAGGACCTTGCACTAAAACAAGCCAGCAGCAGGAAGTAGCTTCAAGTTGGTTAATATACACAGTTAGACATACACAATTTTCCTTTCGGTGGACATCTTGCACGTTTAATTTGACACCTTTCTTTAGGAAGTGCTATTATTATTAATTCTCATTTAGTTAACTCTTCTGGCATATGCACAAGAGAAACGGAGATACGGTCTGATCATCTTTATTAGAACTTTTTCAAACTATGTAGGTCCTTGAAGCTGCAAGCAGCTTTTATTTAAAGGCAACCTGAAGACTCTGGATAGAATTTTTTAAATTCATAATTGTAATAGAAGTCAGAAAATCAGCTGAAAATTGAAACCTTTTTATCAGAATTAGGATACTAAGTGTTCAATGACAACAGTTTGAATTCCTTATTCACACATCCTCCTGCATTTCTTCTCCCTCAAACCCTAAGTCAGGCCCAGAACAAAAATACTAACAAATGAAGAGTTCTGTTGCATTTCAGACCTTATATTAAACATTAATATTTAAAGAAGTACTTTTTTTCCTTTTATTAAAATACACATCAGCAACAGGCAACTTCTCTACAGGCATTATCATTCCTTAAAACCTTGGACAGTTTTGGTGTCTTGGTTGGTTTTTTTTTTTGAAAGCCAAACACAATTCAGAAGCTGACTTCCCCCCGCCCCCTCCAAGAGGTAGCCTTTATTTTGAAAAGTAAAGTAGTATCATTAAAACACAAGTGACAGCTTATTTCCAAATCTCAGGGATTTGGAGAAATCAAGCATCAGGAGCTTTTTTTTTTTTAATTCCTATAGGGAAAAAAAAAAATCTGAAGTTGGGTCAAGTCTCCCCCTTTAGGAAGGGACAAGACTTTCACAGTGGAAGATACTGTATTTTAGCTATCATGCCTTGCTTTCCTCAGAACCCCTATGGTATGAGGTGAACAAACAACAAGAAATAGCTCCAGGTTCCTGAGGAGATGCAGAATAGCAGAGGATATGAAAGTACTCCATTTTCTTAAACAGTTATGAACACTTAATCTTGCACAAGTAGGTTCAGCAAATCGTGTACCTTTCATCTACACAGGGCAACCATAAATTCAAATAAACCTGCTTACAAAGCCTCCTTGATGGACTCAAAATGAAGACTTTACAATTTATGGACACATTTTATTACTAGCTATTTTAATAACCCAGAATAGAAGACAACTAATGAAGAATCTTGTCTTAAATAGTCTTCACAGCAACTAGATGTTAAAATGTTAGAGTGCAACTAAGAAAACTATACCGTTTAGCACCATAGACACTGGTTTTCACATTAAAATGAATACAACTGTACTCTAACACTACCCAGTTCTTTTGCTTGACACTTATGCAGACATTTTAAGTTTCCTCTGTGTACATAAGCATATTGTTGCAACAATGCACATGCTAGATCAAGAGAAGGATGATGTGCTTGAGCAATGTTACCTAATTTGAACAGGCAGTACTTAAATGCATTTCAAGTATGGCTTGTAAATCACAAATTACACCTTTATATTATAATGTATTCATAACCTTCCCCCTTGTAAGTGTATTGTCACAGTACTATTTACATCAGATTTGTGATCATCTAGTTCAACCTCCCTGCTCAAGCCAGGCCAACCAGAGCCAGTTGCCCAGGACTGTGTCCAGTGAAGTCTCCACGAATTCTGGAGACTCTACAACCTGTCTGGGCAACCTGTTCCAGTGTCTGACCACCCTCATCATAGTAAAAAAGTGTTTTCTTGTGTTCAGATAGAATTTCACGTGTTTTATTTTGTGCCCATTGCCTTGCCTGTCACTGGGCACCGAGAAGAGTCTGGCTTCCTCTTCTTCATTCTTCCCCATCAGGTATTTATACCTATTGATAAGATCCCTGCAAGCCCTCTTTTTTCCAGGCCAAACAGTCCCAGCCCTCCCAGCCTCTCCAGATCCTCAGTCATCTTCATGGCCCTTTGCTGGACTTGCTCCAGTGAGCCTGTACCTTTCTCACAGGAGAAAAGACTCAGCACAGCACTCTAATATGGCAAATCAATGTATATGTACTGGTTCTCATACATTTTAGCATAAAACCAGAATTAACTCATTAAAAAGTTAAAAAGCACTTTGCAGAAGTAATTTGTGTTGAGCTGTCGATCAAGTTAAAAAGTAACTTGAAAGTGTCTTTATCGAATGGCAAAGGCAGCAAACAAAATAGGCAATAATTCCCAACATGCAATGGCACCACTTCAAATCACTGGAACTTGTGCTACCATTTTCTACGTCTTATAATACAACCCCCTAATGAAGCTTGCCTTTCTCTCCGTACAAAATTGTACTATAAAAAAAGACAAGGCTCTAACGTCATCAGAAATAGTGATGCTACCAAAAAAACAGACATTAAGTAGTGCCGATGCAAAGAAACAGTAAGAATTTGATTTGCTTATGATGTTAAACAGAAACTTCTGGCCACTGTACAGCTTTTGTCATACTGCACAGGTCTATTATCCCCTTAAAACAAGTCTCATTAATGTTAATAAAAAGTAATCTACAACAAGGAAATTGGACTCCCTCAACTGATAATTTAGGAACTCTACTTCTTATTAGCATCTATTTGCAACATGTTGCTGTAAGTAATTATTTACACCCAGGAGCATTTTAGTTATTGCTTCTTAAAAAAGGCAGATGGGTTTGCTTACTTTTCTGATAACATTATCCAGACTAGACAATTTCCATATTCCATCATGAGAAAACATCTAATGTTTTCTACCAGTAAAAGAATATAATACTCGCTTTATTCTTTTATTCAGAATGCCTTTACTGTAGCATTTAAAGAATCAGCTTAGAATGCCTTGCCTGAAACATAACCTGAGATGCAGCAGAGCAAAACAGGAATTCTGTAACAAAAGCATCAGTTGAGTGGCATAAAAGAGAATGGACTCTGATGACATGGATGAGATAATCAATAAGCTCTCAAGGCCATGTGGAAGACAATGGAAGAACCTACAAAATATTATGAATAGCAGGTAGAAAATTCTGGAAATAAATGAATAAATACAGAGAGCCAACAGAAGTCAAGAACACGATGCAACACAAAAAAAAAACCCAGCAGCAAGATTCTGGTACTCTTGTAATTTAATTATTTAATTTAAATATTATAATTAAATTAAAATTATTGTGATACGTACTTATCACATTGTAGTACGTACTTTCAGGTGAGATGACACAAAGCTAAAACTAAACTCTGAAAACGTTTGTGGAAATGGTATTTATACTGGCCCACAATCCAGCCAGAGATCTGGCTTGAAGTCAAGGCTTTCTAGCTTTTGGGAACAAATATAAACTGTTTACTGAAATGCAGAATGAAGATGAGAAAGCTACAAATAAGCTTGAGTTACTCAAATGCAGTTTCAGAAAGTAGCACATGCTAGAAACAAGACAGGCCAAGTCAGTCCAGGAACAGCAGAGAAAACTCAACCAAGACATGAAGGATCTTTGAGACAGAGTTTACCCTAAAAGCACTCTTAGCAGCAGCAATCAGGTTATTAGATTCCTGAAAAGGGCATGTGATGGATATGTTCCCATCTCATAAGCAGCTGGCTCAGGAAAAGCTTGTATCTGATCCTGTTGTACCAGGTGTTCAAAAGAATGAGAAGAATGAGAACAAAATTACAGTCACACAAAATAAGCATGAACAGGCAGAAATAAAGTGTCTCAGGGGCAAAGTAGAAAGCACTTATCACTCACAGAAGAGATGTAATGCCAAGCAGATTCTTTCCTTCTAGACTGTTATTACATCCATAGGAGGAGAAATATAGAAAGCAGTATTGTACTGCTGTAGAAACAGAACAGTGATGTGAAGTTTCAGCGTAAACAAGTAGGGATTCCCACAATTCTGCTGCTGACCCCCATATTGCACATTAAGATCTCCAGAAAGGAATAGACTTTTAATATATGCTGCTTTAATGCTCACAAAACTTCAAATCTGTATTGTAAGATGTAACTTTGTTTCTTCTGGAAAAGTATATACAGGCACATCCATAAGCATACATCTCAAGAATTTCGTTTCTTGAAACAAGGCTAGATATTTCTCCATTTCTTTCTGTAACTATTCCTAAAAGAAGGACAAAGTACAACTAATGGAAAATGCAAGCCTTAGGTAAATTCTCATATATTCAACAGGGTTTACAAGAAACAGCATTCAAAGGTCCCCGGGCTCTGGAGCCATATCCTCTAGACTGTTACATTCAGCAGGTGAAAGCCATTGTCTACATGATTTTGGTGCCCAGATGATCATGAACAAGACCATTTGGTGTTAAAAGTACCAAGGCTAGCAGGGAGCCAGCAAGTTTATGGCACCATTCTATGCTTGGCCACAGGCTGAACTTGCAGTTTTCCACTGACCTCTTGGGGTGCTCATCCATGACAGCAGCATGGAGAAAGCAACACCACCACCACCTATGCTATATAACTTAAACATTTCTCTTTTTTTGCTACCAAACCACCAGCTTCAAGGAAGGGGGGTGGGGGGGAGAAGGGAAGGGGGTGTCATGGGGCTGGGGTTTGATGTTTTCATTGAGGCTTGGGTTTGTTTTTTTTAAGGTTTGAACTGAAGTTTCACATCCTCCATATTCTCAACATAAAGACCACTTAAAATTACATTCAGTAGTCTACTATAAAATGCTATAGATCTGTCACCCCTTGCAAGAGCTGGTTCTGATCTAAATGCATGCACAACTTGATTACATCATGCACTGTGATGTGGCACATCAACTATATAAAACACTACCACGTGCAGGATTGCTGCCCTACCTACTGATACCACAAAAACCCTCCACAACAAGGGATTGGGATTATGAAGTTTCATCAGAATCTTACCCAATCAGGTAAGAATGAAGAAACCAACCTAGCCTCAAACGACATCTAATACTGCCTATATTTCACACTTACTGTGACATTGTGTTCAAGGCACACATCAAATTAGTTCTTCTGCAACACATCAGCAATGCAGCCCATTCTTCAACACTAACTTTTCTTATTCTTTCCTTCACTCACCACTTTTCTATTTAGAGATATTAGCACTTCAAGATGTTAATCTGTGAACTCAGTCCTTCCTCTTCAAGTAGTAACTACTTTCACAACTGCTGAAGAGCATGATGTCCTAAAAACAGCTAAGCAATAAAAACTCTTCAAAAATGTAATGATACAAAATAAAGTTAGTTTACTTTGTTTCCCACAGACTAACATTTTCTGTTTCCATTCAATTGTTTCAATGCTTTAAATCCCACATTCAGCCTGTTTAAATAAGCTGTGAAATATTTTAACTAGTCCAGAAATCTGAACCTAATCATAGTTTGTTATAAAGAAAATACCAAGATCGACACAAGCAAATTGGAGCAGCAGCCAGAAAATACTGCCTGAAGAAAAGCTACTGAGCACAAGTTAGGAAGAAAAAGCAAAGAGACACAGAGAAAAGCTAACATCATGTATAAAAAAAAAGCGGGGGGGGTGAGGGGGGGGAGGGAGCTTTGCTCATGACAGTACAAATCTTTGTAAGCATGGCTCTGTCTTGCATGTTCATATTTCATCGCTACAGAAACAACTTTTTGCAAAGAATTATAAAATGCTGCAGTAGCGAAGTCATGCAAAGTGTCGATAAATGCAAAGACATTTACATTTTGGTAACAAAGTACCAGAAAACAAGCAAGGTCCAATTATTTCAGAGAATTAAAAAAAAAACAAAACAAAACACTTAATGACACTTAATGAACTAAGTTCCAGATAGGAGCTTGCAGGATTCTGGGAGAATAAAAAAAAGTCTTATTGAAGAATTTGATCCCCTTTGCAAAACTGATGTTTCCCCCCGCCAGGTTTGGGCCAGGACAAGAGGACTGTTTGCTAGCACATCATATTTATCATTCTAGATCCCTGACTGATTTTGCAGCTGATTTTTTTTCCACACATAAGATATCATGCTGGTCTACCCAAATAATTAAGGTGTAAACTAGCACTATTAATATCAAGCCTCTTCACCTGCAAACACAAGCAGCCTTTATTCTCAATGTTAAAGATTACTTCAGGATGGAAAGAAACACAGTTGTTTTTCCTGTACCATAACATTACACTGTATTACATTAACCTATTGAATCCTTCATTATCACCAGACCTACACGATGTAGAATAGGTCATGGGATAAAAGAATCCTGAATCTGCACTTACTGAAGTGGTAACTAACCACGGTAACTAATCTTCTCCTATTGTAACCAAATACTGATCCTCCTTCAAATACTAACACAAATGAATTTCCATAAAAGAGGAAAAAGAAAGAAATTCTTAATATGGGTAACAGATTCCAAACTGTGATTATATTTTTACATTAGGAAGGGTGATACAACTTCTTTAAGACAGTAAAGAGTTAAAACAATTAAGTTTTTATCTTTCATTAGTAAAGACTTGTCCAAAATACAAAAATCAGAATGTACACTGTCACAATTTAAGCTGTTCACTAATTCAAAATGGGGTTTGAGTTTTGAAGAGCATTTTTGTTGATGAAATCCCCCCAAAAAGTTTCTCGTGTTCACTGCAATTAATTTCTGAATTTAGCAAGCGGTGAGCTTTTCAGCAAGAAAGGCCTCCAGAGATCCCTTCCAACCTGAACTACTCTATGATTTTATTACTAAAATCAGCTGTTAGAGAATCAAAAGTTACTACTGCAAAAAGCACAGATTTGTTTTAATGACATTGCTTTGTATTACTGTAAAGCAGAGAAAGCAAACCTCAAGAATTTAAAAGTTAGAAAATATAACGCCCAGTTCTACACAGCTCCTAGCACATCCTCAGATGACAACTGCACAAAGTATCTACATGAAGATCAGTGTTTAAACAGGAAAATGTTGTTTCTCCTTACCAATGTAAAAGAACTTGAATGTTTGTACTGTTTTGTAGTGATAATATTCGCATATAACTGGAG